AATAAAAAAATAAAATAAATTAAATTAACGAATAATAATAATAATAATATATATATATATATATATATATATATATATATATATAACAGTTTTTTGTTATTCAATTATTCAGTTTCAATCTAAACAAAATTTATTCCAAGCTACAAATGTTTACAATAGTCTGAAAATAAACACTTAGTTTCTGATACCAGATAAACAAGTAGCTTAAATGACATAGTGATGAGTGTCACCTGCCCATACTTTATATCATGTTTCTTGTTATATTAGAATATGAAACAAAAGCCATGCACAACAATAACCTTTGAAAACGAAACTTGTTACCACAATCGTGTAAAGTGCATTCTGAAGGCTACTTCTATTTGGAGAAAAAGCCAATAGCAGTACATAAGCTTAAGACTCAATAAAAATGCCTGGGAATGTGCCATTTTAATTTCTTTATAAGTGTCATTTTTCAGGGTTCAATTACAATTGGGTTTAGTTTGTCATTTAATGACAAATAGTCATGTAAGCAGCCTGAGAAAACAAATTGAGTGTGTTTGAAAACTAGACATTTCACACTATTGAACCCATAACAATAGTTAAATGATAAAACTGTTCTTTTAAGCTGGGTTATTTGTTGTATTTTTATTTCACTTTAGTATGACTTGACCAAGTCATGTATAAAAACAAAGGTCTGAAATTAAGTGGGTGCATAAACCTAATATGCTTGTGTGGTCTAAGTAAATAACAGTACCAAGATTCACTTTGTGTTTATGCTTCTTTAGTTTCTGTGATAGCTAGATTTTCATGAATACCAAGCTTGTGTGGTCTAAGTAAATAACAGTACCAAGATTCACTTTGTGTTTATGCTTCTTTAGTTTCTGTGATAGCTAGATTTTCATGAATACCAAGCTTGTGTGGTCTAAGTAAATAACAGTACCAAGATTCACTTTGTGTTTATGTTTCTGTGATAGCTAGATTTTCATGAATACCAAGCTTGTGTGTATAAAACCAATTAAGTCATGAACCCAGCATATCTTCAAATGTTGAACAATATTGTTTAAAAGAAGTTTAAAGTAGAGAATTTTGATTCATTTTGAATGATTATGAACTTCATCAACAGATTTCTGTTATTAAGAGAACTTTTTTTTTTATAATCTACACATTTCTTTGATCAAAGTAATTTTACAAAGCTCTTTTGATGCCAATAAAGAAAATTCTTAAATACAAGTCTAGTTTTCAGTTTTTTACTGTTGTATTTTAATCAATTTTTGCCATCTTTATTCTTAAACTACACAATGAAATTAGCGTATTTTTTGGAATATAAGATGCACCCTTATTTTGAAGACAAAGTTTTTGGGGAAAAAAGCTACAGTTGCATTTGAAAGATTTTTATTGAACAAAAATTCAATTTGATATTTAAAAATTAGTATATATTGTTCTAAAC